CACATAAACGCCAATATCAAATTTATAACCATCAACCAGGAAAGGATTTTGCAAGAATTCCTGCACAAAAGAATCATTTGAATATAAATTTATATCTTCTGGTGGCCGTATGGCTATATGACGATGTTCATTATGTTTCTCTACAAATAAAGCCTTTGGATTTTGCTCCACATAATCCAGAAACTCCTGCCGCTGAGAAGGTAAACGAAAAGCCCTAGGCAGAAAGGGTAGAGGTGTTGTTGACAAATCCACTTTGTTGGTAATAAAGCCACAGCCGGGAAAATGATTAACCATTTGATGTTTTTCTAAATTTTTCATACGTTGAGGCATTTTTATGAAAGGATAATCATGAGCCCACAAAAGATTCCAATTATCCTCCAAGTTGACACGTTGATAGCCCAGTCTGTCCAGTACATTGATAACATGTATTAAGTGTTCCTCAGTTTGCTTTTACCATAAATAGCATAAGTGCCTTGAGGAACTACTTCTTCCTTTCTAACATCCTGTTGTTTAGGCCAATTCCAATAGCTGCATTTAGTGGGTAACAAATCCACCAGAATGGCAGTTGCCAAAGTGGCCAGCAAGAATACGATTACAGAGTGCACAGGAATTGCGTGTTTAGCATCTTTAATGTCTTGAGATTTCTGTAAAAATAGAAATCTTGTTACCCTCTACTCTTAACTGGTCTAACAATATGTGGGTCAAAACAAACAAGAATTGTTTACACAATTTATTAACATACCACTTTAGTCTGAACATTTGCTTGATTATTTTCGGCATCCATTTATTAATTATTATAAATAAATAAAAAATTATTTAAATTTAACTTTAAACTAAAAATAAAAACAAAAAACTTAACAAAAAACTTTCACCAAAAAAAGTGAGAACAGTAAAGACACAGAGTTGTAATTTTGTGTATTAAATTCCTTAGACAGTGTTACCATTTTTAACTGAGTTCTGTTATTGATTTAGTAGGGTGGTATAATAAATTATTAATTGGAAAGTTTTCTATAAAAAACAGTTAGAATTGAGTGTTTTCAGTATAAAAATATCAGAAATCGATACAAATGAAAAGTTTTCGATAAAAAATGTTCGAATAGACAATAATCAAAAGAAAACTGTTCAAATACAATATTTTTCCATAAAAAACTGTTCGAATGGAATACTGTTCAAAGTAATTCGTTGAATAGAATGGTTTCTATAGAAAGTTATTTGAATATGATGTTTTATATTGAAATCTTACAAATGTAATTGAAAGTTTTCTTTTATATAAAAATCGTACAATGGAATATTTTCTATAGAAAAATTTTGCTATAAAACTTTTCTATTAAAAAGTTTTCTATAGGAAAGTTTTCAATAAAAAACCTGTTGAAACTTTAATATAGAGAATTTTTATATCAAAATGGAACAGCATATTTTTTGGTTATGTTTTCTTTAGCGAAATGTTCCAATGAAAAGTTTTTTGCATCATATTATAAAAACAGTGTTCAGAAACTATTAAATTAATGTTTTCTTGAATAGAAAATTCTCTATAGGAAGGTGATTGCATAGAAAGTTTTATACAGAAAAATGCTTTAATAGAGGTGTTTCTTTAGAAAAGAGTCCGAATAGAAGGATTTCTATAGAAAAGTGTCGGAATACTAAGTTTTCTATTAAAATCTGCGTGAATACAAAGATTTCAAATATAGAAAATTGTTTGAATAGAAAGTTTTCTAAAGAAAACTTTTCAAATTTAAAGTTTTCTGGACAAAATTATTCGATTAGAAAACAAGTACGAAATTATAGTCGGGCGAGGCCGACCATATAATACCCTACACCTTTGACAAAAATATAATGTGATTTAGTTGCCATAATAAAGCATTTAAGTTGAATTGTACCTTGCCTTAGACATACATACTTAAGCCGTTTATTGTTGAATAAAATTGTGGACATTTAAGTGAAATTTTGATGGGGGCTTTTCATAGGGGCTAGGGTCATATGAGAACCTATTATTATGGAATTCGTGGGGGTCATCAAGTCTTGTATACAATTTGGTTATTGCAGCTTTTGTCGAGATATGAGTATATTAAACATAATTATGAACTTAAAAGCCCTATTCGGCGGGTTCAGTTGTATGGGGGCTAGGTGAAATAATGGACCGATGTAAACCATTTTCAACAGGCTTCATCTACGGTACCATAAAAGATCATGTGCCAAATTTCATTGAATTATCACCAAAATTGCGACCTGTAGTTTGATTACAAGTTTTTAAAAGCCTTATTCGGGGGTTCAGTGTATGGGGGCTAGGTGAAATAACGGACCGATGGTAACCATTTTCAATAGGCTTCGTCTACGGTACCATAAAAGATCATGTGCCAAATTTCATTGAATTATCTCTAAAATTGCGACCTGTAGTTTGATTACAAGTTTTAAAAGCCCTATTCGGGGGTTCAGTTGTATGGGGGCTAGGTGAAATAATGGACCGATGTTAACCATTTTCAATAGGCTTCGTCTACGATACCATAAAAGACATGTGCCAAAAATTGCGACCTGTAGTTTGATTACAAGTTTTAAAAGACCTATTCGAGGGGTTCAGTTGTATGGGGGCTAGGTGAAATAATGGACCGATGTTAACCGTTTTCAATAGGCTTCGTCCCTGGGACAATAGAAGATCATGTACCAAATTTTATTGAATTATCTTCAAAATTGCGACCTGTAGTTTGATTACAAGGATTACAAGCCGTATTGGGGGGGTTCAGTTTGTATGGGGGCTAGGTGAAATAATGGACCGATCTTAACCATTTTCGACATAAATCGACTCAGAAAATGATTCTGAGCCGATTGGTATACTTTAAGGTGGGTATAGGACCAATATTATTGTGCGTTACAAACATCAGCACAAACCCATATACCCTCCCCACTAAAGTGGTGTAGGGTATAAATAGCACTATTTTATAGAAAAATAGTAGATCAGAAATATTTTTTTAGAAAAATAGTATAGAAAAATAGTCAAATAAAAAGTTTTACATAGAAAACTAATCGAATGGAAGGTTTTCTTTTATTGAAAACTGTTGGAATGTAATGTTTTCAATAAAAAAGTATCGGACTGGTAAATTTTCTATTGAAAATTGTAAAACTGTACAGATTTCTATATAAAGCTATTCGAATACAGATGTTTCTATAGAAAACAGTTGGAATAGGTATTATTTTATTGGAAATTGTTCGAATATAAAGTTTTTCTATAAAAATGTTTTTCGAAGACAAAAAGTTCACTTTTATTAATTTAAAATGCCATACTTTTATTGTAACGGTAAATATACGTAATTCTTGTCAGCTGTTCAGTGCAGGGATGTCAATATGTTATTTAATTTTATAAACGTAATTGTAACTTTTTAAAAAACTTTATCGTACTTCGACTGGTACTTTTTGAGTTTTCCATAAAATTAAACCTAGAAACATAATAATAAATATGTAGAGCCCGGAGTAAATTATAATCTATAAAAAGGGACTTTTTAGTACTTTTTCGTTATTGAACCTATAGACATGAAATTAAACCTGTAGGGCATGGAGTAAGTGAAAACATATAAAACGGGACTTTTTGGAATTTTCTATTATAATGAATCTAAAAACATAAAACTAAGCAATCAGGGACTTGAGTGAATGAAAATTTAAACTGTAGTATTTCTGGTAATTTTTCGTTCTTTAACTAGTACTTTTTGAATTTTCTAAAATATTGAATATATAAACATAAAATTAAACAGGAAGAATCCTAATTGAACGAAATTTATCTCGTTTACGTCCATTTTGCAAAAAGGGCTCGATATCAATCGAAATCTCTATAGGCCATAATTGACCTGCCCCCTTCAATAATTGATTTTAACGTTTTCTACGTAATGTAACCCTCTTAGAGAAATCAGTTTATAGCTAATACATCATTCCAAAAGTTATCATTATGATAGAATTATGGTAGAATTAAAAAAAAAATACTTTAAATTATAGACAACTTTGTCCATAATTGACCCAATTCCACATTAAGTACCTAATCCGAAAATCACGGTGACGTTCTTATTAATCTAATGATCAAAGTCCATATATATATGTATATGACCACTTCCAAAATTTACTTTTTTACGACATATGATTTGCCGAATATAACTCTTACTTCTTACCTATTTTAATCATAAAGAAATTACCGCTAAAATAGGAATAGTCTGCCTTTAGAGTTGCGAGTTTTCATACACTCTAATAATGTTTTCAAAGTGAAACTTTTGGAATATTTTTCAATCTCTTTGTGATCCCTTTAAATGATGTTGTTCTGGAAGAACTTTAACATCCATGTAAACATTTTGGGTAATAAATTAGGGGACTACCAATGAGGGGAGCGGAACCTCCCATATGAATTAAATACAAAAATTCGTTCATCTGGGAAACTAATAGAACTAAATTCTTCAAATTTTGCACAAAGAACTTTAATATTTATCTGAACATTTTGGAGAAAAAAGGGCGGACTTTCATATGAATTAAATAGAAAAATTCGTATATCTGAGAAACTATTAGAGCTAGAATCTTCAAATTTTACTGAAGAACATTTAGAGAATTACGGGCGGACTTTCAATGGGGGGCTTGGCACTTCCCATATGAATTAAATACAAAATCTTGTATATCTGGGAAACTATTAGATTCAAATTTTTCATAGATTAAATTAAAATCTTAATTAAAGATTAAATTAAAATCTTAATTAACGTTCGGAATAATTGGCGAAATTGCATAATTTCTCACACAACTTTAGAGCTTGCTCTGTTTTGTTGTTATAAACAATATATTTGCTTCCAAAATCCCATTTTCTGATCTCTCGGATTCCGTTTTTATTTAAAATCGTTGAAAATTTAAAAACTAAACGCAGTTGAAAACTTAGCCGGCTTACAGTCGGTTTTAAAACCGCAGCCGTCATATTTAGTGTCAGTCGCCGCCGTCGTTAATATTTGTCTGCTCTGCATCAGTCGGTGGTTGTTTATTTTCATTTTCCAACAACTGCGGAAAAAAAACAGCACAAATTTAATTCGTAATAATACGAAAAAAATACAAAATTATTAACAAAAACTAGAGAAGAATGCACAACTAATAATTATCTATCAATAAAATTATAAATTACACTGCAAATACAACATGGAACTCGATGATATAATTTATGTCGCTTGTCTGTTGACCTGCATAGGAGCCGGGAATTATGTGAAGAAAATACCCGATGAAACCCAAAGGAAATTCCTTAGTACAGGATTTGGTCTGTTAATGGTATTCCTGGTATCAGGATGGCATACTTGCATTGCCTAATATCGGCCGGTTTGGGTGCGGCAGCCGTAATTTATGTCCACCCTAGGTAAGTGTGAATGACACCAAAATTGAAATGAAAATTTATAAAAAGAATTATGTTTTTGCATAAATTAATTTACATGTGCACTTTGTATTTTTGTTACACACAAAAACAGCAAATGCCATTTGGCGGCCTTTGTTGCCATGTTTGGTTACTTGATGTTTTTCCGTTTAATGGATTCATTTGGTTTCTCCGAGCCACCCAGTCATACGAATATGATACAAATGATTTTGACCTTGAAGGTTTGTAACTAACAGTAATCTAAGTAATTGGCTTATAATACGATTAGAAACAATAGTCATAAATCTTATTAACTTTTATGAAGGTGGCTGGTATTGGTTTTGAAAAAACTGCCTCTTGGAAGAAACTTCAACAGCGTGAAAAAGAACAAACTGACAAGCAAACCGTTTCGGGAGAAGCTGGTCAATTGGTTGAAATTACCGATTATGATGTGGAAATTCAGTCAATTAACATAGTAGAGTTATTCCATTATACTTTCAACTATATTGGCATACTTACGGGTAAGTGTGAAAGACGACGCTTATTTTCTTATTATTAAATTATCAATTTAGTTTTTTTTAAAGCAGTACACATAGATATTTTGATAAGCTTTTTTTTGTATCATTGTTAGTGGCTACTGCCAGCTGGCGCGAATTATAATATTATTAGTTTTATTGTATTGTATTACCGGGTTTAATGCAAATTTTATAGTGCTTATCAATAGGGTGACCATATTGATGACAAATTAATAAAAATTTAATGAATATTTATAAATATGCTGCTTAATAGGGTAAGCTGATGTGTGGCTATAAATAGATGGACAAAAACTTATTAATCAATAGCAGATTAACATTAAATATATACACGTCTTCTTCTTCTTTGACAACTGATCGATGGCAGACATTTTGTTACAGAACTGATCATAAACAATAGTTTTCTATTAAAAAAGTTATCGAATGGGAGGAATGTTTTCTATAGAATGTCAAATGAGTGACACATGTTTCTATGAATAGGAATGTTTTCTATAGAATGCCAAATGAATGAAACACTTTTCTATAGAACACTGATCTAGATTTTTTATAGAAAGTTAATCACTTAATCCATCGAAACAGATCAAACACAAACTTTTTGTAAAAATTTGTTTGAAAATAAGGTTTTTTTTTATAGTATTTGATTTAGTAAATTATAATAGTTGATGAAAGACAACATTTTCTATAGAAAACTGATCGAAAACAAAGTTTTCTATATGAAACTAATGGTAGAAAGAGTTTTTTCCAAAGAAAACTGATCGAAGCAACATTTTCTACTAAAAACTAATAGAATACAAAGTTTTTCTATAGATAACTGATCGAAGGAAAACATTTTTCAAGAAAACTAATCAAAAACAAAATTTTTCTATAGAAAATTTATCAACGACAACCATTTTCTATAGAAAATTTATCGAAAACTGAACTGAAACTGATTGAAAATACAATGTTTTTCTATCCGAAACTGATCGAAGGCAAAATTTTCTATAGAAAACTGATCAATGATAAAATTTTCTATAGAAAATCGATCAAAGACTGCATTTTCTATAGAAACCTGGTGGAAGACAACGTTTTTTTTTAGAAATCTGATCGAAAACAAAGTTCTCTATAGAAAAGTGATCGAAGATAATGTTATCTATAGGAAACTGAACAAAGAATTAGTTTTCCGTCGAATACTGAACGAAGTCAAAGTGGATATCATTGAAACATCGATCAAAAACAACATTTTCTATAGAAATCCGATCGTAGACAAAGTTTTTTTTATTGAAAACTGATCAAACACAAAGTTTTCTATAGAAAAATTATCGAAGACAAAGTTTTTCTATGAAACATGTCGAAGACAAAGATTTTTCTATAAAACAGATTGAAGATGATGTTTTGCATAGCAAGCTGATCGAGGAAAAAGAAATCTAATAAAAAATTCTCTATTGAAAAGTAAAAAGAGTTTTAAAGGTGTTGGGATAAAGTCTTTTTTTAAAGAAAATCAAAAACAAATCACTAAACATAAGATAAATAAAGCTTTATTAACATATTCATTTTTATTTAAAGGTCCCTATTATCGCTATCGCACATATCGTGATTATTTCGAAACACCTTTCAAAAATTATGCTCCCAATGTACAGGCCACCGTGGAAAAGCTTAAAAGTGCTGGTATTTATTGTGCTTTATATCTCGTAGCTAATTATTTTTATCCTTTAAGTGTAAGTATAACAAGAAAAAAAGCTAAATTTTTATGTAGAAATATTTTAATTATAAACAAAAACCAAAATACAAACCATTGGCCCCGCCCCATAGTACGCCCTAAGTGATGAATTCTATACACAACGTTCCTTTTTCTATCGTCTAATGTATGTGTGGCCCACTTTCTTTATATTCCGTATGCGCATGTATACCGGTCTAACGTTGAGTGAGTGTGTCTGTACTATGGCAGGCTTTGGCGCGTATCCCGATGAATCAGATGTGGCCAACGGTGAAGGTCCCCGTAAACAATATCAGCATTTGAAACGTGATGCCGATAAAAGAACGTATAACTTTACTTCAATAGTTAATACGCGTGTCATGAACGTGGAGAAATGCTGGACCTTCCGTGAGGCCATGAAACATTGGAATATTTGTGTACAATATTGGTTGGCAGTGAATATATACAAGTTGTTCCCTAGCAAGAAATATAGGTGAGAATACGAAAGCACATTGTTATCATACTTCTTTGTTATGGAGAATCATTTGTATTTATTTGCTGTAGAACTGCTGCCACACTACTCTGCTCTGCCTATTGGCATGGCTTTCGTCCGGGTCATTATTTCTGCATAATGGGTGCTCCCCTGTATGTGCCCCTTGAAGATATGTGGAATAGTTTAGTGCGCAAGGACGCCACTGGCCTGCAGCGTCAGATTATTGATGTTTTATTTTGGATATCGAAATTTTTTGCTTTCAGTTATTTAGGCACCGCTTTTCTTTTGGTATCCTTTGGTAATATATGGAAATTCTATAGCTCAGTTTATCATATTGGCTATATAGGCTGGGCTCTAATGATGGCTTTGGGTATTTATTTAACAAAACAAAAGAAATTAGCGGAGAAACGTAGAAAACGAGCCGAAGAACAACAAGCTGGTGGCGAGCACAAAACAAAAGTACAATGAGTTAACAATGTATTTTAACGAATGTCTTCTAGCAATAGTCTTCGTTGTTTTTTTTAACAAATAGCGTTTTATTTTTTTATTTTTTATATACTTTTTTGTAAACAAACATTCGCACAAAATGTTGTTGTTTTTTTTGGTGTCATTTAAATTATAGATATTATAGTTATTACAGCTTTTTTTTATACACCTTTTTTTATAGAGAATTTATTAGCTTTTTAGCAGGTTTTGTTTTTGTATACTTACGTTTAATTAAATAATCATTAATGAATATTATTATTGGCTTAATTTGTTTGCTTTTGGAAAAAAAAATATGTATAATTTATTGTTTAATTAAAACTAGTCTTTAGGCACTCAATACAATACTTTTATTTTAACACAATCATTTGGGTTTGAAAAAAAAAAATAATTATAAAAATTTTGCCACAATAACATAATATGTACTTGAGATACAAATTTAGTATAATTAATAAACAGCCCTATTCTGTTAAAGTTCTAAAATAAAGTTGTTATTGCAGTATTTCATTCTAAATGCTTTCGAATATAATTTATTATAATTTTTAATACCCATTCTACAGATTAGGGCTGTAGTTTTTCAAATATTAATTAAATTCTTTTAAAAGGGCTTTAACAAATTAGTATTCAAATTTATTTCCCTACAATTTAACTAGAAAATACATTTCTATTCGATACCAGCTCGAAATCAGCTTTTAGATTTATTTTTTCTAAAATATAAATGCAATAAATTTTGTCAAAGTTTTCCTTATATACGCAAAGAAAAAGGAACATTTTAGTTTTAAAATTTTCTTTACTTAATTTCTTAAAAAAAATTTAGTTCAAGGTGGTTGGTATTTTTCTCCATCTACAGCTTTTTAAACCTAAAACTATATTCTTCATAGTAAAACAATTTCTTTAAATTCTTGTAAAAAGAAGTGGCAAGTAATCTGTGTAGAAAAAAAAAAACAAATTTAGAATATATTTTCGAATAAACTAAATATTAAATTTTTCAATTTATGCATTGTAGACGTCTTTAGTACAGAAGCTTTTGAAAACACCAAATGTCATGCAGACGTGGATTCATCTGAAATTATTAACATTATAAAGTAAATATAATTTTGTTAATTAATTACTGAAGTCTAATAAAAAAAATGTATTATTTGTAAAATTGTTTAAATTACCTGTTACCAGAGACATGCGTCTCTTAACATCCTGTGTAGTATTGTAAGCGCCACAGTTAACACATTTTAAACCAATAAAATGGAATTTTGTTTTGGAAGTCTATAGTAAACAATATAAGATTTAAGGATATTATTTCTTAATAACAGGTAATATCTAAGTAAAATGGACAAACGTCCATCTTACTTTAATTTAATTATAATTTCCTTTACCTTATGACAATCATTACAAAATATATGTATTCTTTGATTTTCATATTTCTTAGGTATGGGCATTAATTCAGCCTGTGCATCCAAATATTCCCATAAAGCTGTCATATCTATTAGTGATGTCTGACATGTGGGACAGGTATAATGGCCAGAGGTTAATAGCTGATCAAAACACATTTTATGCAGTAGATGACCGCAGTCAGGAATGTGACATGGAATGCGTGAGGTATGTATATCGCCCAAGCACACTGGGCAGTGAGAACGTGATATATTTTCTACGCACTAAAATGAAATAAAAAGAAAAAATTGTATTAAGATTAAGTTTGGGTAAGTACAAATATAGTATTGTGGGTACGAAGAGAATTTTGTCCCTTTATAACCCTGCAAAAGTTGAGACTATTCCGCACACATGTGTAAAGAGTACTCAAAACGTATACAAATATATGATAAAATATACTCCATTGAACATTGTGGTGTCCTAGGTAAGGACCTCGTAATCCACACATACATTAAACTAATTCCAAAACTATTCCCTTGCTACAATCGAATTCGCAACATGGTCCTATCCAATGGGGACTATGGAGCATGTTGTTTTCAAAAAATTCAACATGGTCCATGTCTGCATTACATGGGACTACTAAATGGACCATGTTGTCCAATATTGTTTACAGGGGAGTAGTTTTAGGACTACATAAATGGAGGAAATAATCCCCATATGCATAAATGCTTAATAAAGTTCTTGATGGTATATTGTAGGAATCTTTATAAGGACGGGGGTAAATCTTTTCGTTTAAAAATCACTGATTTTTTAAAAAAGATTAGATGACAGTGGGCATTTTTAGTTTTTTTTTGCTAGTAAAACATGTAGATTTAATGAACAAAATACAATTTTCGCAAACAAGTTGTTTCTTAAAGGAAATGTAGAGTTCCGTTTCTTATGAATAAATATGATTCCTAAACCGGAAACTTCAAAATTACAACTATATCTTCCTTACAACATTACAAAACTACTTCCAGGCATTTAAAATTTCTTGTTAATTATTCTGTTGTAATAATTATATATAAATAACAGATTCGATATTGATGAGGGTATAATAAACCCGCATCAATCATAAAATTAACAAAAATGCCAAACAATTAAAAAATAACATAATTTTGAATTAAATTAAACAAACAATAAGCCTAAATCAATTTAAATTAAAAACAAATCATCTCTAAAACATTCGAAACATCTCAAAGTCATTAAAAATAATACTCATACATAAACTATTTCATTATAACATTTAAAATATTTTCAAACTTTTAAATTCTCTACCAGTCTAAGCACGCGATTTAAGCATCATAAAATAAATTCCCCTAACACTTTGATATCGTATATGTTTTAATTAAAATTCCCCATAAAATTCTTTTTAATAACTAGCAACAAACAATATTTAAAACATTTCAAACATTTTCTTTTACAAAAAAGCCCGTTTAACATCAAAGCCTCTTGTTACCCCGCGTAATTATAACTAACTTACCCTGTGGCCATCAATTTTCAATTGTATGGGTAAACACATATTGCAGACTTTACAGTGAAAGAAATTCTCTCTACCACCAATGCGACAAATGCCACACTGATCGCAGTGATATTGACGTTTATTGGAATCATCAAAAAGATTGCAGATCAAGCAGGTGTACTAGAGCAAATTCAAAATATTTTATTAGTAAAAGATTGCAATGTATTAAAATATTTTTACAATTACCTTTCCAAAACGTATGCCACAATTTTGACAACGTTCTTGCACCTTTTGCCTAGTATTACATTCTGAACAGATCAGTTCCGTTAGAGTTTTGCGATCGAAATGATGCGTTTCATTTTCATCGTGGCAAAATCGACATTTGTAGAACTTATTACAGCAGGGCGTCTGGAAAAGGTAAAAAATATATATGTATTTTAAAGTTATTAAAGCATTATCGTATATAATAATTAAGTTATAGGTGTTAGACAGAATAAATTACGGAAAATTCCCTATTTATATAATATTAGTGCCAACTTATAAAACTTTGTCGTAAAGTAAATTCCCAATGTAAATAGATTTTAAGCGAGAAAACTTGATCTTTATCTAATGCAATCTGTTAAACGATCATTAGGGAATTTACCTATTTTTCGAGAAAAATAATAAGAAATTGTGATTCTTTCAGTTGTAATATGATCATTTATATTCATTCATTATAGGATTTGATATACCAATTTAATCAACTATCCCTGTGACATTTCCAATAAAAGGAATCAAACAAAAACCTTACTTATTTCCCTATAAGAGACGTTGATGCTTTACTCTCACCCTAATTAAGGAAACTATAGATCTGAGACATTTCCCGTATTGTCTTACACTCATAATTAGCCTCCAGACTCCCAGTATATGCTATATTTGGAAAATTCTACCTTTTACGAAGTCATACAAATTTAGGGGGCGTTACCCTCCTACACACAGAAAATATGAAAAATTATATACTGGGAAATGTCATTGTTTATGAATCCTGCTTAGTGTTTATAAACCGGTTAACCGGTTAACCGAAGAACCGGTTTTTATTGCATATTTCGGTTTTTCGCAAACCGGTTTTTTTAAAACATTAGTTTTCGGTTAACCGGGTTATCCGGTTTTTAAGTCTCGGTTAACCGATTTCAAAAAAATCTAATTTTTAGTACAAAATTGTATGTTTTCTTTGATTTTTTATTGTGATTTTTAAAAATTTTGGATAGTTGAGATTGTTAAACAAATGTTAGGAAATGTTAAACATATACTATGCATATAAAATTGAGATTTACAATTTCAGACAATCAGTAAATTAGTAAAAAGTTGGCATTTAAACCAATAAAAAATTAAGTATTTAAACAAATTCCAACCATTATATGAAGAAATTTGTTACTTATTAAGACGAATAAATAACGTTGATTATAAAATGCACTTCCTTGTTTACTGCGTGAGTATAATAAAAATCGAGAAGTTTGTCAAACGTTCTCAAAACGGATTTTATTTATCGAAACATAAGGGTAATTGTCGCTGTCCGAGAATTTATGCTGCTGGGGTTTTTTACAAACTGTAATGGCGCTTAGGTTGATTATCAGGAAGTAAGTAAAGACACCTGTCAATATTCCTAAGTGTCATTCACAGTAATTTGAACAACCACAGGCGTAGCGAGCGGAGGGTGGTCACAATTAAAGCAGTGGCTCAATGTCTATGTCGAGACAGTCGTCGTCTACTTCCTTTCCCGATGAATCGTCGCGAGCCTGAACACTATTTATACCAGTGTTGGACATAAAATTTTTTATTGATATAGATGTATTATATATTCAAAGGTCAATTTATTCCTCCTATGGCAACTTCCATATACCTGACGAATCAATAATAACTTCAGATCTGTATAAGTTTGCTTTCTTATGATATATAAATGTACATATTTATACTAAAAAGTGCAAATATCTTATTAAGTAATTCATAATATTTCGCAAAATGAAATTTTTCAACTAAATATTATAATATTTTAAAGATTTCCAAACATTTTGGTTAACCGGTTTAACCGGTTTTTTTGTACTCGGTTAACCGACAAACCGGTTTTTAAGAAATGGTTAATTTTCGGTTAACCGAAAAACCGGTTTTTCCAAAAGTCGGTTTTTTATAAACACTAATCCTGCTATTCGAATTCTTGGCCGTAAAGAACGTCAGCGTAAGGAGTGGATCTCCGATGAAACCTGGCGAGCAATCGAAGTGCAGAGAAATCCTAAATCTGAACTTATTCGAGTTCATACTCGTAGTGTTAAATTACAACTATAAACACGTTACAATGAGCTCGTCGGGACAAAAGATGTTGGATAGATGAAGTCAGCGATATGTACAGATTCCTGAGGAAAATAAAGGGTGGTAATACATCATTACAAAGGCCCTTAATAGGTGCGACAACAGAGGAGCAATGGGTTGAGGTGTGGGTCCAGGTATTGACGGAATCTCTTCGGAGCTTCTTAAGATCGACCCATATAAGAATGTTAAAATAATATTGCCAATTATTCGGACATTCTGGAAGAATGAGCTGACTGAGGGTATGATAATAAACATTATGTTACGCGTTATTAATAAGGTAATAACGCCAACAGACTGGATTCAGATTATATAAAAAGTCTAAATGTTGTTGTAGAACAATCAGTTGGGTAGCGATCACCACTATATCTATGCTTCATAGACTTTGAGAAGACATTTGATAAACTAATATCTATCTATCTATCTATCTATCTATCTATCTATCTATCTATCTATCTATCTATCTATCTATCTATCTATCTATCTATCTATCTATCTATCTATCTATCTATCTATCTATCTATCTATCTATCTATCTATCTATCTATCTATCTATCTATCTATCTATCTATCTATCTATCTATCTATCTATCTATCTATCTATCTATCTATCTATCTATCTATCTATCTATCTATCTATCTATCTATCTATCTATCTATCTATCTATCTATCTATCTATCTATCTATCTATCTATCTATCTATCTATCTATCTATCTATCTATCTATCTATCTATCTATCTATCTATCTATCTATCTATCTATCTATCTATCTATCTATCTATCTATCTATCTATCTATCTATCTATCTATCTATCTATCTATCTATCTATCTATCTATCTATCTATCTATCTATCTAATCTATCTATCTATCTATCTATCTATCTATCTATCTATCTATCTATCTATCTATCTATCTATCTATCTATCTATCTATCTATCTATCTATCTATCTATCTATCTATCTATCTATCTATCTATCTATCTATCTATCTATCTATCTATCTATCTATCTATCTATCTATCTATCTATCTATCTATCTATCTATCTATCTATCTATCTATCTATCTATCTATCTATCTATCTATCTATCTATCTATCTATCTATCTATCTATCTATCTATCTATCTATCTATCTATCTATCTATCTATCTATCTATCTACCTATTAGGCAGATTGCAGGGTCGCCTAAACGATTGATTGATTACGCTGACGTTTTCTGTCCACTGACAGACTTGCGAATTTTAACTCTGGCAGCAGAATCATCGGGCTTAAAAATTAATGTGAAGAGTAAAAAAAAACATTACGCGTTAATGCAGCCTCCTAAGATTTACTTGTAATCGGGGCAGTCGAGATAGATGTCAGATTATGCTGTATATTGGGGAAAATCATATCCACTAACGGAGGTTCGAGCGAGGATATAGATAATCGATTGCAGAAAACGCGTCAAACATTAGAACGCCTCATTTCTATTTGGAAATCATATAGTAGAAATTATTCCAGCTAAAGTCTTAGACACTTTGTATATTTGGCGGGTTCAAATTTATCATCATAATCAAATAAATTTGTTTATATTTACCAAAACATAAATGACGCAATCAAGTTCTGTGGCTCTAAAAATAGTCTAATTGCTTTTATTGTTCTACAAATATGTTCCTCTCTTTAAACATGAAAATATTTATTAATAATAAATCAAAAAGATCAAGACAAACAAAAACGATCCAGCCAGCCACAAAAAGCAATCAATTTAAACACTGTTAACACATTAAACGAGTAATCGAGATATTAATTTAAACAATTTATACAATTAATTTACACCTGTCTAGTAAATGTACATAAAATTATATACAATTTTTGCAAAATAATATTGAATTATAATGAAAGAAAGACTACAACAAAATCTATAACTGATCTTTTAGAAAAATAATTTTGAATAGAATTTGGAATTTTTTCTTTTAGACAAATTGTATTACAGAATTTTTCGGTTGAACTACAAAAATTCTTATTATATTTGAGAAATATTTCAATTTTATTGTTTTTTAGAAATTTTGAAAAATTCTGAAATACCCCACTTGCCAAGATGTAGGGTATTAAAAGAAATATTTCAGTTTTCTTCAATAAACACTAATGACGCGTTAAATTTCCACTTTTCAACCGCAAATTGTTGTGGTGGGAGTGAATAATTTCCGAGTTGTTTGTCGATCGTTTATTTGTATAGAAAATATTCGTTTATATCGATTATTTAGTGTAAATTAATTGTCTTGTTTTGTGATCTGCGGTTGCTGTCTTTATCTGTTGTTGTTTTTTAATATACATTTTTTTACTCAATGTTAATTAAATTTTTCAAAAATAAATCATAACAGAAGAATATGTTTTAAAAAATTTGTTTATTTTGTTTTTTAAATGAATTTTTCTTAATTTACATAGATCAATGTTATGTGATCGCGATGATGACTAAAAACAACCAATAAATATACAATAAATAATAATTTAATAGACTGACGAACCTTTTCATAAGTGACGCTTTATTATTAATAAATAATTTATATTAATTTGCTAAAAAAAAAACAATTATTGTTAGTAAAGCCACTGCTGGTTAAACAAGGACAGACAAGATCGATGATCTTCTTGTTGTTGCCAGGGTAAAAAAACGTGATGCTTTTAAAAGGCGTCATGCACATGTTTTTATTAATTAGAGAACTTGGAGTGTGTTTTGTTGTTTCAAGGGCTAATGAAGCAGTTGGGTTAAAAAAGTTTGCAATAGATATTTAAGATCAAAGTTTGTGATCGTAAGGCCCTATGCTCAACAAAAAGGGACAGTGTTCGAGAATCAACTCTTGATCTTCTAATCGAAATTAGTGAACATTTAATCTCAAAAATTATTTCGCTGTACTCCACAGGGTGGCTTTTTGTACCTATACTATGGGAAACTGCAATTAATAGGCCCCCTAAGAACCCTAACCTAGAAAGCACTAAGATCTTCTGCTATGCAGATGATGTTGTAATACTTCTTAGGGGAAAGGATCCAAATTACTTGTTTAAAAGGGTTGAAGGTACTCTGAGCTCG